AAAAAGTTTCATTCCATTCAAGGCAACATAGAGTACGACGAAGAGAGGAGTAATAAAACCTAGAGAGGTCCTCCTGTTGTTTTCGAGTAAACAGTGGATATACAGGATATAACCAGGTGAATAATGGAAGAATATGTGAATAGAACAGAGCTTTACGAAGACTAGGAGACGAACATCCAAACAATTTAAACGATTTAATAAGTGCTATTCTCTTCCTAACTTTACATTCTGTATCTTTTAGTAATTTCCCCCATCCAAGTCTAGATGAGATGATATAGCCAAGATATTTGTACTCCTGTTTCCAATTAATACATCTATCATCACCACTATCAAATGTAATATTGAAATTCGGGGATCCTATTGCACGAGCACTAAACATAGCTTTGGTTTTAGTTCTATTTAACGGCTGATCAGCTAAACAAGAATAATATTCTAGTGAATCAAGAAAAGATTTAATACGCTTTTCAAGATCAATACATTGACTTGTGTATCGTACTCCTAAATGTCCCGCAAGTATAGCTGCAACATCGTCAGCGAAAAAATGACTAGTACATTGAGAAAGAAATTGTCCCATATCACAATGATAACTAATGAATAAAGTGGGAGTTAATACACTACCTTGAGGACCCCCTTTTCCAATTGAAAACCATCTGGATTTATCATTATTTATCTCAATAAAGCACCTTCTATCAAGAAGCCAAGCTTCTATCCATCTTAAATAAGACGGAGGAATACCTAACCTATTTAATTTGCCCACACAGCCCTCATGCCATAATTGATCAAAGGCAGAACGAAAATCAATAAAGATGGTACATACAGGGGCACTATTTGCCATAAGACTATGTAAATCCTCCAGAAATAACAATAAACGAGTTTGGAGACGAAAACCGTCTCTGAAACCCGACTGATTATCGGGCAATAAACCTCTCCTAGATAAAACATCACGAAATCTAGAAAGAAATAACCTTTCACCAATTTTAAGAAAAGAGTCAATAAGAGAAATAGGACGAGTTAACGAAGGAGAGCATATGGACTCTTTTTTAGCTAATAAAACCATTCTGGTATCTTTCCATGCCTTAGGCAAAATAGCCGTTTGGAAAGAGTGATTAAATAGCTTAAGAAATAAAGACCAATGACATTGATCTAGAAAATTGAACATGAAGTTAGATATGCCATGAGCGTCTAGAGATTTCTTTTTACGTTTTGCCTGCACTGTGAATACTAATTCATCTAATGTTACTTCAGGAATCGATTCATCAACATTGTCATATTCAATAGGTGGAGAATCAGTATATGGATGAGGTTTCACTATATTAGATTTTTTAAAAAAATTTTCATAAAAATCTGCAGCGACTTCGCACATTTCTTTAGTATTTTTAATAATATGGCCTGATGGTGCAATAAAAGCATGTACGGTAGAGGATGAAGATTTAAGAAATTTTTTGCATTTGGACCAAAATAAAACAGCTGCAGGTGAAGAAGTGTTACGAAGATTAAGTGTTGAAGAAAGTTGAGAAGAAAAAAAATTCTTAAGTTCACTTTTGGCTACTCTCTTTAAGGAATATACCATATTCTTTAGTTCAATGTTTTTTGTTCTTAATTGGCGAAAAGAAAGCGCACGTATATAGGACAAAAATGACCTAAGTTTTAAAGGAATGGATGGACGATATTTTTCTAAAGGAAAGACAATTGTACATCGAACAGATAAAAGAGACAGGAATCTGCTATAATCATTGTAAACAACATCAATATTATCAAGGTTCCACGTTTCTTCCCAGAAAGAAAAAGTATATTCTGTAAAGAGAGAGAAAACCTTCCAATGAACATTTCTTCCTACTTTTTTATTTTTTATTTTGGTTGGAATAACAGATAAGATAGGTGTATGGTCACTGGTTGTATTACCACTATAACTTTGAATATCGATACTTAAACCAGCAGCTACAGCAAAATCAATTACTCTATTAGAACGCAAAGAAGTAGACGTTTCAGGTGTAAATGGAGCAAGAAAGTTTGCATCTGCCCATACAAGGAAGAGCTCTGCTTTTTTACCATCTTGATCTATATCAACATTAAAATCTCCAAACATAACGCATTTCTTAGATAAAAACGGAGACAAATCCTCCCATGACCAAGATTTACTCTCAGGTGCATATACTCCAATAATACGTAATATTTCTTCACCTGCAATATCCAAAACACAAACATTAGGTAATTTACATTCTATACGCATTACTTGAATATCTAATTTCACCAAGACTAAAACTCCACCATGTTTATTCTCTCCCTTTTGGTAAAAAATTCTAAAGCTATTAAAGATTTTCTCAAAGAAGGAAAGTTCAATTTTACCAGTTTCAAGAAGAATAAGAATATCGAAGTTGAAAGAAGATGTAAGAAGAAGAACCTCTTGCCATCTTAACTCAAGCCCTCGAACATTGAATGATAGAATATGAAGTGAAGAATGAAAAGAATTTTCATCTAAAGGAACATACTTCTGCCACAACGAAAAACAAGAATCAAGAAATATACTACCTTCCCACTCAGTAAGAATCTCTAAGAAAAGATTAAAGTCAAATGATGATAATGAAGCTTTAGCTTTAGCTAAAAAATCACTACGTTTACATAAATTAGAAGAAGAAGTACAAGAAAAAAAAGGTTGAGCATAGGGCGACAGAGTCATTAGCTTGTGAATTGTTTACCTTCAGTTGCTTTTTTCATTTGAACCAAATAACGATTAAGTTTACATTTAAGATCCACATCAAGTGGTTTGCCTCTCTTGTCAAGATTTTGTGCTGCAATAAGTGAAAATAAATCTTCAAACATTGGGATTAACAATTTAAAAAATAAATTTTCATGTCTATCAATATATGAACTATGTTGAACAACATTTTTCTTTAAATTCATATGTTCATTAGATAAATCATTAAGTTTTTTAGTAACAATTTCATCATTACGATTTTTTTCTAATATGAATTGTTCGAAATTATCATGTTTAGCTTCTAAATTAGCCAGATGAATCATCACTTCTGACAATTTATTTATTAATTCGTCCAGCTTAACCATCATAGGATTAATTGATAATGTTGAAGATTTAGGTGGTGGAGGAGGTGGAAAATTAGTTGAATTAAAAATAATATTTTTATTCATTAAGTTTGTATCAGATGGTGAATGATTGTTTAAATGAAGAATTTTACGAGTTAATTCAGCACGAAAAGATTTGACCACCGGACATTTTAGAGAACTAGATTTATGATTTTGTCCACAATGGATACATTTTTCAATTTTAGAACATTTATGATTTTTCATATCATCAACTTGTTCACCACATATACGACATGTTTCTTTAATCTGAGAGCATTGCTTTTTAAAATGACCTATTGCCATACACTTAGAACATATGAGCACATTAGCAGGAGCTAAATATTCGATAATATCATAAGTAATATAATTAACAAAAATTCTTTTTTTATTTAATAAATCATCTCTAATAGAAGGGGAAGTTAATTCAATTTTAACCATCTTAATATCATTTTGAAACTTGTTTTTCATTCTAATTATATTTTTAACTTGAGGATAGTTAGATTTAATATCAAGACAGAATTCATCAAAATCAATACGTAAATCAACATTTTTAATTAGTAAACAGAGTTGTGGTGGAATAGCTGGTGCTGAAGGAAAAAAATAACTTTTACCACCTATAACTTTTGGCCAATGAGCTTGTTCTAATAAAAACGAAAAAGAAAAAGCATCTTTTACATATATAAGAATATCATATTCATTATCAGAGAGAACATTAGAAGATAAACGACAATTAATCACTTGAACATCAAATTGATGAATTTTTTTACAATGATCAATTAAATTTTCTTTAAGTTGATTACTTGTAACCTTTCCTGCACCAAAACGTAAAACAAATGGTGGAAACGGATACCGTGTTTGAGCAAAACGTGTTGATTCATTAGTAATCACGAAATTATGAGAAGATAATTGATGTTGATTATCATTAACAATACGTGTTGAATTTTGATCAAGTTCAACATCAACAAGATTAGGTGCAATTGTATTAATACGAGATGCTTCAATATCATTTAATGTTTGAGGGTCATCACGTGCAATTTGTTTTTGTTTTTTCTTGTTCTTTACGACACGAAAGCCATCATCTGATTCGTCGACCGAGAGTGGACGACGGACAGAAGGTAATGATGAATTAACAAGATGTAAATTTGATGTTGAGGATGATCGTGGTGTAATAGCATGATTTTCACTTTTTTTATTTAAATTAGCATCTTCTTTAAGATCATGGTCCAAATGAGGATCCAAAACATTATTTAAGTTCGAAGATAACATATTATCTAGTTCGGACACTGTAACATTATCATTTGATAATTGTAAACGGTGTACATCATCAATGTTCAAATCAGAAACTGAATGTGAAGTCATTATCAATGACTTGTAATTCAGTATAAAGAGAAAATCAATATAATTAGTTGATTAATTTTCTCGATCACGCACAGAGCGCGTGATTAAGATATATGTATATACGAAGGAAAAGAAAAAGACGTAAATCGACTTATCAGTAGATATAACGAATCACGAGTGATTTTTGCGTGATTTTTTAACTCAGTGCCACATTCTTTCTAAGCAAACTGATTTTCGCATTTTGACTTGAAACTTTGTATAGAGATAAGCTTTAACAAGAATCGTTTGCTTGAAAGTTTCAAGTCTTTTGAAGTCTTATTTCTGGATAGAAGCAAATGCAAAAACCTGCAATATTCACAATAAACTATTCGTGTTAATGCTTGTTTCTCTGCAAATTTTCAAATCAAAATGCGAAAATAACTTTTTCTGATGTTCTTGAGGGGTAGATCCTGGTATTCAGTTATTAAATGGCATAAAAATGCAGTATCTTTGCAGCAATAAGCTGATAGATCAAACTCTTCTCAGAACATTCATAGCTCATTAGAATCTATACGATGCATATATTTCCGATTTAAAAGCGATTTATTGACTTGGAAACGGTCTTCATGAGCTGATATAGAATTTTCAATGAGATAACACATTTAACCACTTCTTTTATGCCATATGACAGTCTTTCACAATCATTGCCCCTTCTACTTATAAGGATCCTTATGTTTCAGTCGATATGATTGTTCATTAATCATGCCATGATAAGATCTTGTTCGTGCTACTTCTTAGCTTACTTACAAAACACTCAAAAACGCCCAGTTAATACTTATCTGTTAAATAGAATTTCGAGAAAAATGTTTTAAGTAGATTATTCAATACTATTCTCTATATTAAGTTTATATGACTCAAGAGAAGTCTTTGGTATTGGCAGAGGCTTGTCATAGAAAATTTTTGTTTTCAATGTTTAGAAGTTTTTCTTTTGGTAGAAGTTTGAATTAAATGTAAACGCAACTTAAAGTTTTAGTTGTATCGAATATAGCTGAAACATTTCATCATTTTGCTTTTTTCTCATGTTTAACTACGATTACAAATAAATATCGACAATACTTAATAGAGTTTGGGAGGGAACATGCCCGACTGCCAGATACCACAGTTCGACTTCATATTATAGCTACGAGTAGGTCTCGATAAGACTAGAACAAGATTTAAAAGATTCGGTCTCATGCCCTACTTAATAAAGAGTAATAGCAGTTTAAATGAAAGTTTTTAACTGAAAGCAAGGTAGTTTCGAAAAGTCCAAAGCAAAGAGTTTCAATTTAAGATTTTGCTTATAGGCAAAATTTCAGTTCAAAACTCTTTCTTTTGGATTTTTCGAAAACGTCTTGCCTTCAGTAAAAAGAATCCTTTTGAACTTGTCATAGTCTCACTGACACCTAGTCATAGTCATACTATGAAGTCAAACAGCATTGAACTAAAAGAGGAAGTAACCCTTTGTCAATATGATACATCTCTTTACTTAACTTAACCTTGTCAGGTATTGTTTAATACGTAGATTAGTGGAAAAAAATCAAAACTCTTTATTTAAATAAAAAAAAACAGATATTATAGTTTGATCCTTCATTATTTGAAATGTTAACTAAATTGAACGTATGTACAAGAAAAGTATTGTTAAATTTTTATTCGACTAAATGAATAAAAAAAAACACTTAATAGTGTGAAAATTTTCAAGAAAAACAATCGTTTCTTCTTGATACGGCAAGCTTGCTTACGCTGCAGAACATTATTCTAAACATGTTTATGAACTTGTTACTTCAAAATAATATTCTTCAATGATTAACAAAATTGTTTTAATATTTTTATTTCGATAGATAAAAAAGCCACCACAATCTTATCAGCGTGAATGAAAGTAATGATAAACAAATTCGAAAATAACTAGAATGAAAATGACGATAAATTATGTTTTGCGTGGAGGAAGGCGTGGAAGTGTTGGTAATGGATCATTACGCAATCCTTTCAGCGATTTTTTTGTAGATGATTTAGGCCCTTTAAGAGTTGGTGATGGAGGTTCAGTTGTCGAGGAAAGTGAAGAACGATGTACATTAGTTGCAGCAAGAACTGGTTCATGATTACCACGCATTGGTGAACGATAACGATCAATTGTTGAGTTACTATTTATTAGAAAAAAAGAAATAATTTATATATTTCATAATGCTTTGTTGATATGCAACAAATGCTCTTTCAAGTATTCATAACTATTATATACATTGATTAGCTATAAGAAAAGTAAAAATTAATAGAAAACCTGGAAAATGTTTTTGAGAAGTCAATAAGTTGTGATTTAAGAACAGAATATTGTACTCTTTCAGGATGTAGACTTAGAGATTTTCTTGAGACCATTGAGATAAACTTATGAAAGATTCTAAAAATAGTTTGAACGGAAACTTTTTCTGTGCACTTTTGTATTTTTATTATTGCAACTCGAAAGTAAAGGCTGACACTTTTATTCATGAATCAGCTTGTAAAGCAAAAGTAATCCTACAAAATTTAATGTTGGAATTTTTCTACAGGTCCCTTCAATTTTCGTTTCTTTTAAATCCTCATTTTTGAACAACGACTTTTTAATCAAAAGATATTTTCCATAGAAACGAGCTCTTGGTAAAGTGCCTATAGTTTCAAGTAGGTAAAAGTCATAGCTAAGACCAATATAATATTTTGTAAAGAAATGTTCGCTCTACAACATCATCGACCACAATATTTTTGACACTTTCGAAAAGCTATTTGTAGGCATCAGCAAAAGTCTATTGGTTTATCATTCAATCTAACTTTTGGATCTTTAGAAAATTTCTTGACGAATCTCGAACAAAAACTGACATAAAATTTGTAAGACCATATTCCGAAAGTGCACTATATACTGATTCTAATCCAAAGCTTTTTCATCTTCGAAAACACTTTGAAGAAAGCCAAAAATAAATATTTTATTTTAAAAATTTCAGCATATTCGTTATTTCGATGATAGATTCTATTATAATAACTTACGAATTATCAGCTATTGATGATCGTGAACTTGCACGCGATTGTGTATGATGTAAACTGAATGCTGAATTGGATCGATAGCCTAACAAATAATATATATAAAGATAAGTTATTTTTATACTGGTACTTTAATGATTTTTTTAAAATATATATTTTTAGAACTGTCAAATTAAATAAATAGAATTATTTAATTACATATAAAGATAATTTTTAGTTATTAAGTCATTTTATCTATTGAGCAAAGTTCGATGCGTTAAAAATAAAGAATAGCTGTTTCTTCTGACAATAGTATTATTAATTTCAGATTATTTTCTTTATTTGTTGTATGCCATCAACAATCATTGTTGACATTATAGAAATGCAATATAATCGAATAATGTTTACAAAGACTAGTTGATTCATGAAGCATTTTTCTAACATTAAAAATTTTCTAATCAGTTAATCGACCGGAATATTTTCATTTCATGCATTCTTTCAATGATCTGCTTCTTACCTCAGAGCTGTAGTAATTTGTGTTTCAATTTTGTTTTTGATTTACCTAACACGAATATATACATGTTCATATCTTCTCGCATAAATTTAAATAATTCCTTTTCTTCAGAATAAAAAAATGAAAAAAATTAATTACTTAAATAAGCTCGAAAACAGATTCATTTCTTAGCAGAAATGAAATCGACTAGTGTCTTTTTTTTGGCACTGAATCGAGTCAAAAACTTATAATAAGCTAACAAGTGTATCAGTCTTGTAGCCAGTTGAGAATTCTCAAACTGATCCAGTCCAGCCGGTTTGATGGATCATAATTAATTGAAAATGATAGTTAAGTGTGAAGAAAGAGTGACTGCCTTGAGTCGTGAGTAATATGCTGAGAAGAAGAAGACAAGAAAAAATTTGTCATGACAACTAAACGAGTGAAAAGAAACAAATCGACTCTACAGTATTTAGTACAGACAGCCACCTTTTAGTCCACGGAACAATTCGGAAGGCGATAAACGCGATTTTGAATACGAAAAAGGTTTGTCTCGCAAGACTTTATCATTTATCCATCAACTGATTGTCAAACTTCACATCTTGAATTTTTTCACTCAATCTTTTCGAACAAGCCTAATGTTTTTCTCTTTTAACGACGATCCAAATCTAAATCGGATCTTTATCAAAGAAAGTTTAGTTCAAGCAACACCATTTTGATTGTGCGTTTTAAAAAATAAAATAAATTTCAATGAAAAATATCAAACAGTGTGAACGAACAGGAAAAAAGAATAAAACTGGTAGTTCTTGAAACAACACTGTTTGATTATTTTGATAAGATCAAATAAGCTTGCTCTCAAAATATTTTATCATCTCACTTCGGTGACTAAGTACAAAAATTTTAAATCTCACCTGTATCACCGGTAGTAAGTCGACTTTCTGATTTTTCAGGGCTATGAGTAGATAGAGTTGTCGATTGCCATTTTTGATTTTCAGGTGGAAATGATTCATCAAGCCCGAAACCACGTTTATTCGAAGAAGATACAATTGTTTCTTCTATTTATAATATCATATAAATATTTATATAGAAATATAAGAATAAAACATGAAATGAACCTTCTGGAAAATAATTTGTTTGTTTTTCATAATTATTATCTTCATCAGATTCATCAACTTCTAGATCATTCTCAAGTAAATCATCATCATCAGCAATACGTAATACTTGTGGTTCAAGAAGTTTTTTACGTTCTTCAATTTTCCTAATCAATAAATATTAAAAACAAAAACAATATTCAAAATAAAAGAAATCTTACCGATTATGTTCAATTTTCCAATCATTAATTTCCTTCATTAAGGGATGATTTGATATCGGTAATGATGAAGAACTAGATGATATTGATGGTGGTGATGGTGCTTTTGTTTTTTCTGATGTTTTTACATGAGAAATGTCGGATACATGAGATTGTTGATGTTTTCTTGCTCGTAATATTTTTGTTAGATTTCCTTGAAATGCTGGACCAATAGTTAATTCACTAACAACATCTTCATTATTATCTGTAATCGAATTCAAAACAAAAAAAAAACGAACATAAAGTTTTTGATTGTGAAAGAAAAAAAACTACTTCAACCTAATAATTCTGATTTAGCAGGATCTGTATTTGGTCGCATTGATGCTGATGGAGGTCGAATACTACCACCTGAACCAGAACGAGCGGCTGATCGAGGACGATAATATGCGGCTGAAGTTGGTCGATTTAATGGACTTTTATTAGCTGATCGTGGTCGAGAATCGACTAGTTAATCGAAAATATTAAAAATATTAAGAAAAAAATTTTTCTATTATATTTACCTTGATTACATGCTAGTTTATCATCAGGTGGTGCCATACCTGCAGCAATACATTCTTCAATTAAAGACCAATCTTGTTGAAATAACATTGTTCCTTCTCCAGGTATTGATGATGAAATTTTGTTTATTCGATTTGTTGGTACATCATCAAGTGTTTGAAGTCGAGGTAAACGTTGAATTATTTCTGTACGATAATCAGAATGATTATTAATCTAATTTCGACAAAACAAAAACAAAAGAAATAAAGATTTTCAAAGAAAAAAAATTTATACCGGATTGCCTTCGAGGGTTAATGAATTTAAACTAGGACATAAGGCAAGAAATTCAACTTGACGTAAATCATCAACAAGATTACTAGATAAAGAAAAATACTAATAAATTAAAAATACCTTAATACAAATATACCTTTCAAGATCAAGTAATCGTAAATGTTCAAGCATACTTAATGCACTTAAATCAGATATTTCATTATAGGCAACATAAAGTTCCTCAAGTGATTGAAGACTTGTTATACCATCAAGATCATTTAGACAACAACGAGCCATCCATAGAATACGTATATGTGAGAGTGATGTACCAAGATCTCTTTAAGTTAACAAACAAAAAGAATAAATTTTTTCTTTTTTTTTTATAAGAGAATTTTTGTGTCAATTAAACCAGTTCTGTTATACAAACGATAATTACAGTCTTGGAGAAAAATTAGCTGCTTCCTATGAAGTGCTATTAGTCTTTATCATATTCAGTTGATATTGTGAGTGTATGCGAATCCTTTCAAACTTGATCCGAGTCCAAAGTTTAATTTATTGCCAGAATCGGGTTCATAAATACGTGAACCTACAGTTCCCTACTAACATACCCTTCATTGGTTCAGATGTATTGGAGTTATGATGCACACATCTTCTTTCCTTTTTGAAAAAAGATATTCAGAGGAAATAAGGACTAAAAAACTTTTTTGTTGTTGTTTTGTTGCTCCACAAACTACTACTCTTTTTCTCTAGTGCTAAAAGCAGTTCCATATGTTTACTTAGTAATTTTCCGTCTTAAGATAATAACCCCATTTCATTCAATGTTGTTGCTCTAAAACCTTTGGAGCAGGCTCGTCGTTTCATGGGATTTTTCTACTAAAACTTTCATATGCATTGATCAAGATCATTATGGAAAAGATCTATTTTACTAAAAAATAACATTTGTTCTTCTTCATAAGGCAATACCACAGTTATTTTAAAGTGATATCTAACAAGATTCGGACTAGCGATACTCACGACATTTGACTTTCGAATGAAAGGAGAGGGGCTACCGGGATATATTGCATTTATTTAATCCAATAGATTTATCTATTATAAGTAGATACTCGTTTTTAACTGTACCAAAATAGAACCATAATCTCCATGGATCAGCCCCATCCTCAGCTAGTTGCTTGCCTTCATTCTAATCCTTTTCGTTTGATTATAAAATATATAACGCGATTTATCCAAAAAATAAATCCTGGTAGCTGTTGATAAAGATATTCTAATTGTTGACGAGTGATTAAAAAAAATTATTTATTTCTTTAACCAAAAATAAAGGATCGATTTAATTTATTTCAATGATTTCGTCATACATTTGCCATTCCGTCTGAAACTGATATAACCTATGCATGTCTCGATCTTTCCCATATAATAATCTAAAAGTTTCCGTCTTAAACAATGAGACATTATTGGAAGATTTTGATATTGTTTTCCATAGCACAGCAACGGTCACTATTCTTTACTTAAGTCAGTGATGATACTTCACAGCAGTATTTGATTTATTCTTTCAACATTTCTCTTATAAATATTATTTTATCAATGCTGAAAAAATCAATTCATTCTGTCAAAATATAACGGAGATATTCAAATTTTTTCTTACGGGAACGAGAATTGACCATTGGTTCCCTTACAGTTTTACCATTCATAAAAGTCAAAGTGATGCTTTTTCTGCAACACTTTTCATATACAAATATTCCTGTTCACAAACTTCTTGATGAATATAAATGTGAGAGCGAAAAATATTGTGAATATTGTTTTTCTTGATTTTAGCAATCACGAAACTAATAAAGAATTCCTATCTTCCAGCCCTTGAATACCTCTCAAAGTTTTTTCGTCAAACAAATAAACATATGAATAATTACCTAACTCGTGGTATAACACTATTACTTAATTTAAGTTGAACTAATTTTTGTAAATAAATTCCGAAATTTCCCAAGCTTGTATCCGATGTATCGACAATCATTTCTAATTCACGAATATTTGCTAAATCATCAGTACCTGTTAATGCTCTCTATAAAACGAAAAAAAAAAAAAAGATATGAAAAATTTTCTTTAACAAATACATCAATACCAATTTAGTTGGTGATAAAAATTCTTCAAGTAAAAAATCAGCTTCTTGTAAAACTAATGGTTCAGGATTAACTCGATAATCTTTATGTTCAGTTATATGAATACCACGACGTAAAGGTTGTTTACGTGATGGTGCGGGTCTTTCAATATCGATCGGCATACTTGAAACTCTTTAAATTTTCACAAAGGAAAAAAAAGAACATAAGAAAAATTATCTATTAGAAAAAAAGAAAACAAATAAATATTTTCATACCTAAGCATAACCTAAAAGAATCAAATTATTTTTTTATTTTTTCTACATAATAAAAATATATGAAAAGTCAATTTCTTTTTTTTCTTATTTTAGCCATTTAAAAATTCTATTAATTTGCTTTCCTAAGCAACTTGTCAAAATCTAAACGTGATTTATACAAACTGCATAAATGTGTTACATGTAGAGGATTGGTGTATTTTGATTTGTTTATTTATTTGTTTGAATCGATTTTTATTGTTCGTTTCTGTGTTGTTTGTTTTTTTTTGAAACCTGCGCATTCGCTTCTTCCTTTTCTTCTTTTTTTTCTCTTTTTTTTTCTTGTGTGTTTCGTGTGTTCAGAAATCCTGTTTTTTTCGTTTCTTTGTTCATTTTCTTCTATCTATCATTATTGGATTTCTTTATTTTCTATTTAATATCTATTTTCCTGTTCACGTGTCTGTGTAGTCTTGCCTATTTGTTTGTTTTTGTGTAAACATTCTATTTCAAAAATGTCGTCTGGCAATGTACTCGATCAAGCATCAACAACTAATTCTGGTGCATCTTCAACAACATCAAATAATTTAACTAATAACAATAATACAAATCCAAACAACAATAATACAGGTAATAATAATGGTACATCTTTTCAACCTGTACGTAATAATTCTGATAATATGGGACATACATTTGAAAATTCAATGCAAATGTTTGCCATGAAACAACAACCAATGGCATCACCTATTACAGGAACAATATATACAGGTCCACCAGCAAAATATTTAAGTAATGGTGGTATGAATAGCAATGGTTATGCAGCAGGTGGACCTATGAGACCAATGTTACCACCACAACAACAAAATAGATATGGTTCATATAATGGAAATAATAACAATAATTATAATAGTGGACCATCAACGCAACAACAACGTCGACAAAATAATACTGGCGTTGATAATGCAACGAATGATTCAGTCAAGTAAATAATGGATTGATTGAATTCTATATATATATATTAGTGGCGAAACCAGGGTTTTTAATATTTTCTAGAGGTGTGAGGAGCTCAAAACTCGACAGAAAATGATTTCATTCTCGCAGTGCTAGAAGTGATGATGGAAGAAGGAAGAACGAAATCCAATATATGATCTGCCTTTTCCACGACAGACGACCTGTCACTAGATCATTCCTCACCTATTTTATTCATCTCGAAACAACATTCTCTACTTATTTTTAATTCAATTTCTGCCAGAGAAAGACAAATGATCTTTCAAAGTTCAATAGGTATCCAAAATTACTACGAAACTGAAAAGAATCAGTAGAAAATATTACGAATTTTAAGCTCTTTCTACAATCAAGAATCCTGACTTCTACGAACCTTTGAGTCTTTCTGGTGAGATTTTTGAAATATCTATTTCTTTCAAACACAATATAGTAAATACAAGGTTATAACTCATGACCTTATATTTACTGTGTAACCTTTTCTTTGAACACGCATATGAATTTCACAGAATAAGATATTCTGTGTTGAAACGTTTCATTGCAAAGACTAATACATGTTTCAAAAATTTCACAAGGGAGCTGACCTTCCTCTGCCACATCCATTGTCTTTCCAGTTGATCTATATAGATATTGTTTTCTATTCTTAAATTTTAGTACACGAAAAGTATTTGTTGGTGGTCTTAGTCCGGATACAAAAATGGGTAAAGAAGTTCTTTTTTAGTATTGAATTTATTTTAATATTTATATTTTAGAACATCTATGTGAATATTTTGCTAAATTTGGCAATGTTGAAAGTGCTACTGTTAAGTTTGATAAATCAGGTCGTTCAAAAGGTTTTGGTTTTGTTCTTTTTGAAGATCGTGATTCAACAGATAAAGTAAAACAAAAAAAGAAAATATAATTTTTCAATTATCGATATTATTTTCATACTTTTCATTTGACAGGTATATTCCCAAGATTTACATGTAATTCAGGGTAAACGTGTTGATACGAAATCGGCACATCGTCGTGATCAAGCACTTGCACGTAAAGTATTTGTTGGTGGCTTAGATACAGAAGTAACTGATGCTGAATTACGAGAATATTTTTCAAAATTTGGAAAAGTTTGTTAAGAATTGTTTTGATTCAAAGAAACAATTCAATATTTTTTTAACTTTGATTATAGATCGCTCAAATTGAAGCACCAATGGATAAAATCAAACAAAAACGACGTCCATTTTGTTTTGTTCTTTTTGAAAATGAACAAAGTGCTGAAGAAGTTCTTAAACAACCACGTCATACATTAGCTGGAAAATCTATTGACTGTAAACGAGCTAATCCAAAAACTACAGAAAATAATCAGCAAAATAATAATGCAAATAATCCTATGCATGCACCATTAGCACATTATAATATGCCTGGATTAAATCAAAATCCATTTCAATATCAACAACGTTAGTAAAAAAAAAAAAACAAGGAAAAGAATAAGAAAGAAAATTAATTTTTCTTTTCTTGTTTAGAACAACGTTCACAACAACCACCATCTCATCAACAATTACAATATCAACAAGCAGCACTTGCTGCTCAACAACAACATTATCCATTTTATAAGTAAATTAGAAATTTTTTCTTCTTTCGTACAAAAAAGTTTTATATTTTGATCATAGTTCATCATCAATTGGAATTTCATCAGCTCAACAACATCAACAAGCTAATCAACAAGGACAAAATCGTTCTCAAACAAATCGACAACAATTACCGTCGAATAGTCAAGGTCTTGCTCAACCTTGGTCACCAATGAGTCCAGCTCAATGGCCAAATACAAATTATGGTAATATTATGGATGATCGGACAGTTTTTAGACAAGATATTTGTGCACTTTCGATCCTCTAGAAAGTATTTCCGACGAGTAAGAACCAGAATTTTGCGTTCTTTTTTAATACGACCTTAGAAATTTTGTCTTAGTTGTGTTCGCGAGTAGTAAAATAATCTTTCGAACAGTTTGGACGAAACTTGTTGGTTAACGTTTTAGATTTCCATAGTGCTGTTGAAAAACATTACAGACGAAGTGAAGACTATAGATCACGATCAGAATTTCAACATAGGCTTAGAAATATTGTGTCTATTTTTTGTTCAAGAGTAGTGAGTGACTTTTTGAAATACTTGAAAAATCATTTTTAATCGTAAGCCAACAAGTTTTTGGTTACCCAATAAATGCTTTTTGGAACATTCTAAAAACTATCGGCGTCGGCTGTTGTGTAGAGTAAATATATCTCTAAAAAATGTGATATTGAACTAAGCTATAACTTTTATCCAAGTGAGGCTACAAGCACATTTCAACGAGCTCCATTCAATGTAACACGGTTGCCGATTTTTCAACAGATCAGTATTTATAGAAAAACGAAAATTGATGTGCCTCGTCGAAACACAAAATGAATTTTGTGAGGTAGCTTCTGATCTACAAGCTGATATATAAATAAAGATCTCGGTTTTTATTTTCAAATTACAAAAGTGAAAATACACAAATTATTCGTCCAAACTAACTTTCGAACTTTTCAAAGATTATTTCACTAATTGCAAAGAAAAACTGAGACGAAATTTCTAACCAGGGAACCATTCGAGGTGATACTTCACGTATGATATGATATCCCAGCCATAACATAGGAACTGTTGAGACTAGAAGAAACCTAGAAGAATTCTTCCCGTGTGCTGTGCTTTAGGACTTATGACCGCTACACTCGACTTTTTACCTTTGGTCCTGTATCTATAAAAACAACCGGGCAAATGAATTTTGGCCTAAAACTTTGTCCATAGACAGTTCTTGAAGCTTTTAAAATATCCTAAACATTTCAGCCATAAAGACTATTCTCTTCTCGACAGATCAAATTCAGATTTTCTGTTGCTTTAGTGGAATATCATGTTTTTTTTTGGTGGACTTGATATGTTGAGAAGCGACTAGTCTTTGTGGTAGAAAATTTTTGAAGGTTCCAATAGCTTCAATACCTGTATATGGACAAAGTTTTAACATAAAATTCATTTGTTCGATTTTTTTTTATCAATACTATCAAGGATAAAAAGAATTCAGTGTGATGATCATAACTCTAAAAAGGCACCGCATGGGAAAGAATTATTCTATTCTCAATAGTTCATATGTACGGGGAAGTATAACTTCGGATAGTTTCCTTGTAAGTCTATGTTCGAAAAGAACACCAAATCACGGCTTTTGACTCGTCGGAAATATTTTCTAGCAGTTCAAAAGTGAACAAATATTTGATCTAAAAATTTTTCGATTACCTGTTAAATAAATCTAAATAAACTTTTTTAATCTAAAATGCTTTTTCATTATTTAGCGGATCCCCGTTCATATAGTTCTTATGGTCCTTCATCAGCATCGGGATCAAATGCAACTTGGCAAGTTGCTCCACCTCCACAAGGTAATTCTTATGGACAAGGACGAACACCATCAGCTGGCCCAACAGGTAATCCAGCAAATGCAGCTGTAGGTCCACCACAAACTCAAGCACCATTTGCTGGAGCTAATTCTAATACGGCTCAATATTCTTATGCCGGCTGGAGTTTTAGTCAACCACAAGGTTCACAAGGCCCACCGTCAGCTGGACCACCACCACCAAATCAATATAATTATGGAGCGGATTCATCGAATGGCCCACCAAGTGCATTTGCATACCAAGCACCAACAGGCTATGATCATTTCTCGTCCGATTCGGCACCTCCATCCAATTACAGTCGTTGATGAAAGAACCCACATATATACTGTACAGTTTTTTTCTTCTTCTTTTCCCCTTATTCTGCTTTTTGTTTCGTAGTCCTTGATTACCATTACTTATACCATTACATAGATACGAATGCTAGTGCATATATGTGTGCGTGTGTGTCATTTGCTTGCTAAATAATCATTTTTTTCTTCTCTTTTTTGTCTTAATCATCATCATCGTCATTGATTTTTCTATCCTATGTGATGCAGAACTATTATTCAAAAAACAAAAACACTTTTGTATTCCTGATTATTATTTTTTCGAGCATCATCATCTCAGATATTTTTGACGTTGCTTTTTTTGTGTGTTCATTACTTTTGTGGTTTTTTCATTTTTTTCCTTTCTGGAGTCATTCAAAAAAAAAAGATCTTGAAGATTATTTGTTATTGTTGTTTGTTGTTTACCGGTTTTTGGATGATGATTTTTATTCATTTACTTTTTTCTTCAAACAAACACAGTATTTCTATCATGCTTATATTACACAAATACGAACAATAGTTTCTTTTCTTTTGTTTCTTGTTCAATACCTAACAAGGTCTTGTGTTTATTTGTGTATATGATAATCTCTTTTTTCTCCTTTTTACGTTCGCGTCTCACATCATATTTTTTGACGTGATTATTATTGTTGTTGCTGATCTTGAAGTTCTTTTTTTCTTGTGTTTGGCATATACACATGTTTTCTTTTGTTTTCTATGGTTTAATTATCTGAACAACTAGTTCGACAAGGCGCATACACACACACACACACGCATGCATATACACTCGTACATAACGTTTTCTTGTTTTTTTTCTTTTTTGTTGTTTTCTTTTGGAGCCCCTTTCTTTACTCTCTTCTTTTTCCTTGTTCTTCACAACATTTTTTTCTCATTATTCGATTTTTGTCAAAACAATGTTCGAATAAAGCAAAGAAAAAAGTCAAAAGTAATAAGAAACGTTTTAAAAATTAACCGTAAGAAAAAACGACTATATTCAATGAATATCAATCGAATTGAAATAGAAAAAGAGACACGATTGTTTTTTGTTTCGAATGACAAACAGACACAATCTAATGAAGCCTTGACGCAAGGACAACCATTTTCGTTTTTCTATGTAGACGAATGCTTCCAAGCGGAACATTTTTCTTTCTTCTTTCCTTTACATCAAGGATTGTCTTGCACGATGTTTCATCATGAATATTAAGGAATACTAACTGATATTACTATTCTACACAAGTTTTAATTAAATAGAACGACGTTAGGAATTAAAAAGTTATGGGGGCAGGTCGATCACGTAAAAAATCTACGCCTATGCCAAATTATGCACCAGGTGGCAATCGATCTGTTGGTCAACTTAATACTGGCGTGGGAGGTGCATCTCCTATGAACCAACAACAACAACTTATGCAAGCTAATCAAACCATTGCAAACTTAAATAGGGAACTTCAAGTTCTTCGAGGTGGAGCACCAATGCCTTATGGTGGTTATCCATATGCAGGTGGAGGCATCCCACCGATGCCTTATGGTGGGTATGGATACCCAGGTGCGGCTCCAATGCCTTATGGTGCTCCTCCATATGGACCTCCGAGTCCTGTTCTTCAACGTCCAGGTGGATACTCTCCATATGGATATCCACCAATGGGAGGCGGTACAGGTTATCGAGATACTGATTTTGCAGCTATTGGTAATATTGCTGGACTAAGTCCAAATGAAGTAGCAATTCTTCATCGAGAATATTTGAATTTAACACGTGGTGGTACAGTTAAAATGGATCGTATGATTGTTCGTCAATTATTACGAGATATTCTGCTCGAAGCCAATAATGAACATGTTGATCGCGCTATTGAAAATATATTTCGCTTAATGGATCGAAATCAAGATGGTTTTATTGATTTTCCAGAATTTGTTGGTGCCTTTAAAGAAGTATTAAAAGATAAACCTGTAGATTCAGACAATTTCATGTTGAATAATGCGCTTCCTGATATATTAACTGAACAATTACGAACAAGTATTTTTGGTTCTGGTAGTCATTCTCAACAATTAGCATTAGTTCAACAGCCACAAGTAGCAACACAAGCTGTTCCAACTGGTGGATTAAGTATTGTACCATTAGCATCAACAGGTATTCAACAATCACCAATGATGTGCAGTCCTCTAACAACTTGCTCAATATCAAATGCAACTGTACCTTTCATTACCCTTGATCCAAATCAATCATCTTGCGTAATCGCAACTCCCGGTCAATATTTGATAACACAACCTACAGCTTTACAATGTTCACCTTTACCAATCATGTGATTATAGAGCTATTGTGTTTTCTTTCTTTCTTTTTTTGTTCTTCTTTTTTCTTTCCTAGTCAAAAAGAAGATAATTCTAATTTTGTTTGTATTTCAAGAAAAGATTATGTCCTATCATTTAGTCAATCAATCTAAAATAGTCATCAAAACAAAAATATATTCATTAAGGAATATATTTTTAATTCAAGCTTTCATTTAATATATTAAAATCAATATAGTTTTACTGCAGACATGAGTTTTCATTAATAGAAAATTGTACAATGAAACACAAGATTTATTATTCGTCTTTCGAATATGTATATTCTCTAATCTGCACAACTATTAAAAAACCTATTGACAACAGAATACATAGATATTTTCATGAATATAATTGAATTAAGTCATTTGATCGTGAATAAAACAATATTTTTTTTTAAATTATATATTATGTATATCGAGTGTACCAAAACTTTTGCAACATATTTTATTTCGTATGTAGCTCAACTTATGAACATGATAAAATGTTAATCTTTTTCTTTTCTTCGAAAAAATGTGGCAGTGAATATTCTACTCGGGTCACAAGACTGAATCTTTATAGCTATTTTCGAAATTTTAATACACTGCTAATGCTAATACTAAACACGTGTATCATCGTGTCATTTCTTAGAAGAAAACATAAGAGAAAGTCAAACATTGTTAAATTTCAATTAGGGAACTTGTGTACCCTTCAAATCATGATGATTATTACTCATTCATAGCTCAAATGCAAGTGGAAAAATAACTCCTTTATCAATGAATCTGGATGCTTCGCTCTGAAACAAAACATTTTTTGCTGTGTTTCTCTCAAATACATTGGCTAAAAACAGTGAGCTCGATGCATAAATCACTATAGTAAATTTCCTTGACTGTTGCAAGAAATACTAAAACAAAATTAAGCTTAACAAAACAAAGAAACATAATCATACAATGAGAATATGTTGAGGAGAAATCAGTACAGCTCTTATAAAAAGTATTAGTACAGTGATGAATGTTTCGTTCTTAAAGAATCTACGGCACGCCTATTTTATCTAACATTGATTTAATTAAAAATGACCTTAGTTGTCAATCACAAAATAGGTTTTTTTTTAATTTTACCTTGTGAGAAATAACACGATGACGTACATATTCAGTGTCAGTATTCTATTAGAATTTCGAAAATAGCTAGAAATATTTGGTCTTCGGATCCGAGTAGAAATTTGATTATCATTACATTAAAATGTTTAAAATAAAAAATAACAATTTTTAATGTAAAATTGAAAAATATCATGAAAATCAGAGTAGCATATTCGATTGTAAAACAAAGACCTTTCCTATAGATATATTTCTTAGATTCGTCAGAAAACTATTTATAGAATATAAATATTGAAAACATCTTGTATATACTTGTTCAATCATTCATCTGGCTTAAAATAACTATAAATTTTCAAAATGATTAATTTGAATGCATTTTACCCGTTCTACTTTTATTGTTTTTTTTTTATCGAAACCTGTGCTGCTCCTCAAGTTATCATGAAAATCGAATTTTGACTCTCGACTTGAAACTTTTCACAGATAAAGCTTTCAATGATACCAGTTCATTATAAAGGTTTCACTAGTTTTTGTATGTCCTACTCTGATATATATGTTACAATTTAACTAAGATGTGGAAATGTTACTGAAATTTTTCTGTAGAATCTTGATTCTTCAATAGAATCCCTACTTTTGAAATTTGATCTCACACTTTGTCCATGTCAAGAGTTCAACCAGAATAGCTCATAAAACACATTTCAGAAAATTATCGAGATATGATTTTTTCCAAAATATAGATGCTTTTCTATAGGTATTCAATGCAACTTGATTTTTTTGTGAAAATTAATCTCAACAAAGTTATGCTCAAAAGTTCGTCAATTTTTCATATAAACTAATCGAATTGAGATCTTCATATAGACAAAATTTCAGATGAAAATTCAAGATTATGCTTTTGTTGCAGTATTTATATCCTTCAGGAGAATTTCAGTAGCACTTCCATATCTCAACCAAATTGTACCATGGATCCATATCCTTTTAGGCTATTTCAATTATACAGGTCTTCTACTTGTGGACAAAATACGAGAGCAATTGCAGTGAGTCATTTCGAGCAGTTGTCTCGTTAGGTAATCAAAAAGAAATATTCTCAAACTGTAAAAAATAACAAATTAACATAAAAATTTCAAAGACTGAGAATTCTTAATCATGACTTCTCAGTAAAACAGTTTTAACTAGAATAATACATTTTCTTCAATTCTATGACTCTTTTGTCAACACTCTAATACTAGTTTAAAAAAGATATATTATGTTACTTTATAATTAAGAGAAGTCTCCCATTTTTACAAAAAAGTTTCGAATTAGAGAATGTCAGAGGATGCGTATCCTCCTGCAGGACACCCAAACCACCTTATTAATCATGATGCAATGAAGTTTTGATTATAATATTGAAACTCATAGAGATTACCCTGATTATTAAAAGTAGTCAGATAAGTAGATGCCGTCGCAACGATTAAATGCTTCAATGGAAAGATTATTTCGCTCAATTGAATTGACATTTATTCAAAGACGAACATGTTTATCACCGAGTCAAATTAATACCATCTTATTTATTCATTCATAAGAGAAATTCAAGAAAAATCAATCAAAACAAAGCTTATCCTTTCTCAGTGTCTCTCTATTTATATTGATTACCTTTTCAGTCATGTATCTTTATGCTAGCTTTATTATTGTTTTGTTTATCCCATTAATTTCAAATATTTTTTTTATTGTTCATTTCATTTCTGCTGGAAAATATATGATAAGGTTTATTAACATTATAGTGTAAATGATTTTTATATAAATAGTACGTCTATGATATTTGACTTCGTATTTCATAAACAGACAAGTTTTTTTCTTTGCCAAACATACAATGAAAAGATCGTTCTGCAAACCAGACGCGCGAGAGTTCTTTGTTCTATCGAAAAAAACTTTTAGATGCCTAGTCCTGTATCCTGCATTTTACAGGACAGGATGAAGAAAACTGTCTTGTAATGTTCTATGTTTCGTATTTTGTTTATAGAAAATATATTCTTAGTATCTGATGACATTTGATAAAACTGAATTTCATTTGGAGAGAAAATATTATTTTAAAACTAAAATTCATATCGACTTGCAAATATTTTTATAAAAAGTTACGATAAAATTTTATCTAATAATACAATTACTTTTTTCAATAAGAATATTTGTTTAATAAAGAAATTTTATGATCATAGTTAAGACTATTATTTTTCTGAAGAGAAATAAGAGAATATTTCTGTTGTATAGATTATTATCTTTAAGTTAAGTTTATATTATTTGATGATCACAAAACTTTAAATTCATTACGATAAAACCTCTTGATAAAGTCCATATATATATATATCTTAATTGTTATTAGAAAATAGATCAAAGAAAGAAAAGCATAAAAACAAATGAAAAAGCTGAAGAAAATTTTTTTTTCTTTTGTTAAAATATCCAATACAATTGTTATCAACACTCAAGTTACAAAAGAAAGACTAAGCCGCTGAACATATTGTCCTCATTTTTCTAGTCATCACAGCTTCTTCTTTTTCCTTCTGATTCTTTTCGCACGGACGACAAAAGATAATATCTTAAGGTAGGTGGTAGTAGCCAGGGTGGTTAAATGTATATACATCGATTTTTTTTCATCTTCTTTTCTAACTTCGTCATTTATATATATATGTGAAAAATTGTATTTCTAATTTAAGAATAATTACGTAGGTGTTAAATTCGAGTTATAATTAATATATTATTTTGTCTAATTAAATTCAAATATATTCATGAAGAATTAAATTTAAAAAAAAAATTGTTTTGTTGTTTCTTCGTGTTCGTTAACTATGTCCGACAATGGGATACATTGAAGAAATTAAGATAACACTATCAGTATAAATAAACAAAAAAGTCAATATTTTGGTTTGTTTTTTCATTTCAAAAATTTTTCTTATTCTACTTACTTATAAAAAAAAATTTTGTATAAAATTAATGACTGTCAGGGCGGAACGAGATGAGCGCATGGATAGGCGTTAAATGTTTGTATTTGTCAGAATTAGTTCGTTTACGAAAAAAACAACTTCTTGTTGACATTAGCTTGGACACGCTCATTTATTCGAAAGTCAACATTTTCGGGAATTAACAATTTAAAAATTGAACAATTTTTCTTTTGCTAGATAAAGATCCGTAATAAAATGGCTCAATATCATGTCCGGCACACATATAAACAGTTATCTTCATCACCGAATACATCGATCAATTCAAATTTTGACAAGTAAGCTCCGAATCTAATTTTTTCTTTTTTGTATACATATATATTTTCTTTTTTTACCAAGCTGATTCACAGCTTGTTTGACCGTTGGATTCGAATACAACAATCTCTTTCGATTGTTCACATACAAGAAAAAGAGAAAACAGTCGGTCATTGGTTTTCGTTCTCTTTTCCCTCCATCGCGGTGAAACGAGAAAGAGGAAAAAAAATTCGATTAATTGGAATCGGAGAGAGAGAGGGAGAGGGAAAACGAAACGTTATAGAATAACCGTTGGCGAGAAAGAAAAAGGAAAACAAAAAAAAAAAAGGATTCGTTCACTCCCTCTTTCCATTGTCTTTTCTATACATATGTCTATATACGAACAAGACGGCATACAGTTGCTTTTACTTCACTATAACATTCGAATGAAATGAATACCATCACCGTCAATACAAGTCCTTTATATTTATCAAGGTATACATAAAATACAGAAAAAAAAGAGCTTCGCTTTTGTTAATTCAGATACACACGAATGTCCCGAGGTCACCAAGATCGAGGGGGGGTAGAGGCGGTGGTTAACTTTTGCGAAGATCTCGAGACACCTCTTCATGGATCGTTTTTTAATGTTTTGTATTTATTATTGATTGTAGACGAACACCACGTCGTAAACTGTTTTCATCGAGTGAAGATGACGATA